GAGGCAGGAGCTGACAAGAATGCCGTCGCACACAATGGCACACCAGCCTTGATCGCGGCAAGTGTGGAAGGACACTTGCAAGTGGTGCGAGAGTTGCTGGAGGCAGGAGCTGACAAGAATCGCGTCGCACACAATGGCGCAACAGCTTTGATCGTGGCAAGCTGGCAAGGACACTTGGACGTGGTGAAAGAGTTGCTGCAGGCAGGAGCTGAGAAGGATCTTGCAACCGAAGATGTCAAAACAGCCTTGCACTGGGCGAGTGAGTATGGCCGCAAGCACGTGGTGTGGGAGTTGTTCCAGGCGGGAGCTGAGAAGGATGCTGCCGCAGCAGACGTCAAGACAGCCATTGGGCTGTGATGCAAGCTTGGCCTTGAGAAGAGTTCGTATAAATTGGCAGCTGAGGAGGGCCATTCGATGCAGAGCGGGGAAAACCGTTCAAATGAGAGAAGTGTCTTCCCGTCTTGCACCGGTTCGCATGGTCTTTAATTAATTTTGTGAGTGATTTGGCCGCTTTTGCTCGCTTTTGTTGAGGAACCCCCATCTCCAGCAAACCATAGCGCGATTCTTTAGTCCCACCGATGGAAGTCTTATATAGCAATTACATCATTTCCAGAGCCAAGTGACCAAAGGCAGCTTCCAGCTGTTGATGGAAAAACGGACATGCATTTTCGGGGGTGAAGAATGGAATCAATACTTGTGCAGTCGATGATTAAGTTCTATGATGGGGTGGTGATTCATTGAAATCCCTGCAAATGAACATAAGCACAACAACATGTTGATACTAGATTTGTGCTAAGTGTGCGAGTTTAGGCTTATTTTCCAAAAGTTGATTGCATGACATATGTGCAATTGTATAATAAGTCTTCCAATGGCTTACCCTTCCATACTCTGTACGAAACCAGTTTGGTTCAAGCATTCTTCAGACTAGCATAGCACCCACCTTTGGAGCCGGAATATGTTTGCTCACCCATTTAGCAATGTCTTATACCCAAACCACCCGAACATCAATCACTGACCGCCCTTCGCTGACCCTTCCGGCTGCTCACTTCCGCCCGCCGATGTGGGCGGCATCGGAGCGAGCTCCGACCGAGCTCCAGAGCTCAGGATGTTCTCTTGGATTCTTCGACAGCTGGAAGCCGTCAGCCTGGCACGGCAGTCCTTGGTCTTGGAACCTGAAGCCACCGATCTGCTGAGGCCGAACGTCGGGAAGCGATCCGGGAGCGATGACTAGTGGAGGATGAGCAAAGGTGTGTGTTTCATAGGAAGTGGTGCCATTGTAATATTGTAATTTGGGTATATATACTTTCACGCGCATTCTATATACTTTCATTGCTAGTCATCTCTTCATCAAATCTTGACCAACAATCAGTTCTTGCAAACATGTTGAACTTCTGTTTGGCTGGTTAACTTTGCTGCCCCGTTTTTCTTACTATAGTACGGTAAACGACCGCTGCTTTGGGGGGTCTTCTTGCGGTAGTTCTTACGGTAAATGACCAACCACTCCAGTTCTGAAATTCTATGCACTCTCACTATATACGGCAATTTTTTTTGAGTGTATTTCTTCCTGGTACACTCCACAATGCGTTAAAACCGTGGAACATCATCTCCTGCCACGTGGACTCTTGCCTGAAACAATGAGATGTTCGAAAATAAAATCAATAAAAGTCCAGCAGCCAAGGTATGCCAAGATGTTTCTTTGGGATCTATTTTGATGTCACTCACATGACCCAAAGCTGCAGCCCCCTAAGAACCGACGGCCCCCGGAGCAACGACGGCCCGTCCGCCCAGCCCCGGAGCCGTGCACCTCGTGGGCGTTCACCTGTGCGGACCCGTCAGGAGCATCACCTGGGGAAAGCTTCGCAGTGGCCAGCAGCACCGCGACCTCGTCCGCATGAGCAATGCCTCGGGACCCTTGGGCGAACGCCCCTCGGTGTGAAGCGGTGCCAAGGGCATCCAAGAGGTGCCATGTGTGGAGTGTGGAATGAGATTTTTGCGAATTTGAAGGTGGTGCCGGTGCTCTTAGATGGTTTCATATGTTTTCATATTAATATCATGTATACGTACTGTATTCCTTTCAAGTGTTCATGACATTTCGTGATGCCATATGACGCGTCGCTTGATCATGTATGAATTCCCAGAAGGGCTGGGCTGAGCTTCGATGTCCTGAGCAGACGATGAAACTCTTTGAGGTAAAAATGCCTCAACACCACCTGGTCCAGGCCCACGAAGGACCAGCATCGAAACTCATCTTGCAGCAACAGCTTCAAAAAATGGAGAAAGCACAGCACCGTGCTCTTTCACTCTGATAAAGCAAGGTACATAAGTCGTGTTCTTGGTCAAAACCTGTCCAGAGTGTACAAGTTGGATTAAAGTGATTATGATACAATTCATTTGATTCCTTGGTCCAGGCCCACCTGGCATGTCCTGGCAACATTCTGGCAGCAAAAGACACCAACGATGTTTGGCCGGGTGTCATGTACACCCAAATGTGGAACGATATGTGTCATTTAATGTAGGGAGACCCCCTGGGCCGGCCCAATGGGTTGACTTGTCTATGTTCCTTCTTCCACGAGTCGAACTGGGAGGTCTCCCTGTTTTGATTATTTGGATACTAACTTGCTGTTGTATAGCTGTTGCTGCTGTTGCTCTTGGCATTTTTTGTGGTGAATCATTGATCATGAATTCACATGATCTTTGACACA